TATGTTAAACAAATTCGTAAATCAAAAATTAGTATGTGTGTATATACACCTGGTGTAAATTAAGAAATTTTCTTTATTTTTATTTTTATTTTTATTTATTTTTATTTTTATTTTTATATATTTTATTTTATTTTTATTTTTTTTGGTTAGTCAAACTTTTAAGACTATTTTTTGTACCGGACGTCCGCGTTCATGTCCGAAGATGTACGTAAGTACGTACGTACGGCATCCATAAATAGAAATTCCTGTTGACCCACAAATTTAGAATTTAAATTTATATAAAATCTAGAATCTAAAGCTTGACACACGTACTTTATTATCTGTTATTATTACTAAGCATATAAGTTAGCTAAATAATAGATTATTATATTAGTTTATGCATTTAAAATAAGCTACTCAAATTTACAGATATTGATTGGTCTTTAAAATATCCTTCAGTGCCTACTATTTTTATCGATTGATAATTTTATTTTACATTATTTATACAAATTAAAGTATAGTACTTTCTTAAAAAGATAAAAACATAGAAAAACCATAATGTAGAAGGGTTTATAAAAGTTATAGGACCCATAGCTAAAAAGATTTTTAATCCTCATCCGTTTGAAAAAGTTAATATAACTTTTCAGAAGCAAGTTACTACCAAACCAGCTTTTTCCAACGAATGAAGGTTAAGTTGAGATCATGAAGTTATTCAATTTCACGAAAAGCATAGGTACGGCTGGTCATGAGTTTGGAAGAATGCCGGCAAGTCAAAGGTGCCGGAAATAAATTCTATTAAAGGACTTTAAGTCCGTAGAATACATTGTGAGTAATTTGAGCTGAGTAATTTGAACTGTAACGATGATACGCTCCCGGGAAATTAGCAAGTGAGATTGCGCCGGGTATCTTCGTAACAGTAGAACGAGTGAGAAGCAGTATCGGCCGGTGGTTTCCCGCCTGCTCGAAGCAGGACGGCTGTTAAATAGGAAAATGGCGACTACAGTGTGTGGTGGTAAAGGTTGGGTCGAGAAAAAATAGATGGTTATAATGCTTGGTTGTGTTGAAAGAGGAAAGAGTGTCGCAAGTTGGCTTCTTTAAATACTGATTGTGATCGGTGGCTTTCAGTTACATCACTTTATCCTCATGAAATTCCTGAGGTCTAATGTCTCTTTCGATTCCCGACCCATGTTATCAGAGCAGCGTGTAACCCCTGACCATCTTTCGATCTGTTGACTTTTGTCAACATGCACGAACATCTAAAATCATGAATTTCTTATCAATATTTATTTTTTATTTGCATTGATTCAGTCGATGAACCTGCATTATTGTACAATATCTTTAATTTTTCAATGTGGGTTCAAAAATTATTGTTAATTACTATACTAGGAAAGTGTAAAAATCAGCCATACGTAGAAAATCTCGGGTTTAAATATATACATATAACCAATCGAATAACTACATACAAACATTATGTTTTTTTAAAAATAATTGTTTCAGATCAAAATCCATAAAGATCAACACACCAAACATACTGGACATGTATTCAAACGAAAAAAAAAATTTAATTTCGTTATATGGAGTGTTACGTATTAAAAGAGCCCATTCAAAATTTTTTAATTTGATTTTTTTTGAATAGATATATATTCAATAAAAAAAGTTTTTCATAATTATATAACTGATAATAACTGAAAAAGATTCGTAAAACTAACTTTAAGTTAGTAGATCTTTTTATTGCTGTTTTCGAAATGGTCGGTGTGTAAATATAACCACTCCATATATTCGAATCAAAATCGGTCAGTTAATTTTTTTACTAGCGTTAGATGAAAATGTCGGCTAAATTAAACGGTCTCTATTGGATAGAATTATTACCAAAATTTAAGACGGCGCAAAGATTTATTAGACTAGTAACACCAGTCTAAAAAATTTTGCAGATCACGTGATCATATGATACAAATTTAACGATTAATTATTAAACGATTAATTTTTACTGTTGAGTCCTCGTTAAGTTTAGTCCTCGTTAGGTTAGGGTTAGGGTTAGGGTAAACTAATAATATTTTTTATTTAGCTTTAGTAAAAAAAATGCTGTAGCGGAGGCGTTAGCCGTAGCGAAAGCATAAACTATCCTTTGCGAAGCAAAGGATAACGTTGTTCTTGCTTAAACAGTGTTCTTTCTCGAAACTGTGTTTAAACTGCGCTATATAGATATATATCGGAAATTCCTGTGATCATCATTTCATGTGATCTGCGAAATTTTTTAAACTGGCATTTTAAGTGCTGTTGTTGCTCACAATCTTGCACATTGGTTGTGAGTACTCTAGCCAAATAACAGCTATGACGCCGATCGTATCTCAAATAAATTATTTCTGATACTATTAATTAAGAAGTCTATCACATTGATAATTGTGATTTAAATTAACATAGCATTTTCGCGAAATAACACTCATGAGCGTTATTTCGAATAATAGCCAGAATTAAGTTTAGTTAGGCCAAAATTCGAAATTACACTCTTGGGCGCTATTTCACAATTGAAGTTTGATATTGTCAGTTATTATTTTCGGCCCACAAATTTATTATTGTCAGTATCGTTCGGAAGAACTTCGCTGTTTTAGATATGAAAATAAAAAAAAATGCACACATATATCATAATATCTTGAAAAACTTATCTCTTTATTATTATTATTATTGTTTTTATACATTACAATCTTATAACTAATTTATCGACAATACAATACAATGCACATGAACGAGAAACCTATCAACCTTGGAAATGACAAAAATGTAACTTTACACACGAATATTCCACTTTACGCTATCGAATATGACTATTCCGTAACAATAGTGCATATTGTTAAAAAGATAACAGATAAAATTATCGAGGTTTGAATAAATCTTATATTAATTTCACTGGTGTCGCATATTTATGATTAATACTTCTACCAATATATTCGGATTTAAATCAATAATTCATTTTTTTCAAAATTCGCTATTAAAGTTAGATATTTGGATTCGGAGTTTTTGTGCGTTATGATTCATAACTTGAGAATTTGTCTATTATGCTCGAATAATGTTTCAAAAATTTAGATAAAGCGTGTTTGTTATACTAACATACTTCGGATTTAAATCAATAATACAGGGTTTTTTTCAAAATTAATTATTAAAGCTAGATATCTGAATTCGACGTTGTTGTGCGTTACGATTCATAACTCGAGAGTTTATCTTTATGCTCGAATAATGTTTCCAAAAGTTCATATAAAACGTGTTCGTTATATCAAAAAAATATTCGGATTTAAATCAATAATACTTTTTTTTCAAATTTCATTATTAAAGCTAAATGTCTGTATTCGGCGTTGTTGTGCGTTACGATTAATCACTTGAGAGTTTTAGCTTTTATGCTCGAATAAAATTTATACAAAGCGTGTTCGTTATATATAAAAATTCGTTGTACGGTACATAAAAAATCGAATTGCGAGTTATTAAAATTTTGCCAAATGTTAGATGCAAAATTTCGAAGTCGAAGGATAAAGTTTGATTGTATTATAAATATTCTATCTTATAATACAACCTTCATGGCACTTATGGCCCACAATATTCTTCGATGGACAAGAATTGGAGGTAGTGAATCTGAGTATAGCCAATATCTGAGGTAATTGTTCTTCTGTATACCTTTCGCTTAAAAATTTAATTTCTTCTTGAGTCAGTTCAGAAAAGAGTTCATTATTTCTTTTATCGCAAATTTTCTTGGGCGGATCTATGTGTGTTTCATTAATCAGGTTATTTTCAGTTTCCATACGTCTATAATTTTTTTGATCTTTTGGCTTTCGCCCACGTTTTTTTCCTTTTTTATTCTTTTGATCTTTTGGTTTTGGTCCACGTTTTTCTCCTTTTTTCGAGAAAGTGCATTTTCGGTTACGTTTTATACATTGGGAGCATCTCACGGTTGACGTAGTGAATGCGACAGAATCACATTTAATTTTTAAATCTTTACATGAATCGCATGCACAAGATACGTTAAGTCGGTCTGATAGTTTTAACGACATGTTGAGATTTTTTGCCAAATAAAAATGATGATAAATTCACAAGATTGTTTTGGAGAATATATTTTTTATTTATTATTTTTATTTTTATATTGGGGTAGACCTTAACTAATTTTGGGACAAGAACAAGTGGACTGTCTTTTATAAATTTTACAAAGATATGCTTCGCCTATATTATTGATATTAAAATAATACTAAAATTCAGTGTACGGTATTGAGTATCCGTTTCATAGCGATGAACCATTTAACTGATTTGGTAAAAGCAATAGATCGTCTATAATTTATACAATTCTGCAATTTTTAAGTTTTGTACAAGTATAAGTTCCGCAAGTCATACGGTAATTTGTCATTGAATATTAAAAAATATTAGTAATAACACAGTATTTTACATTCTAATCATAATTTGCGGACTCAATAAATCGCTTGATTTCTAAAGTTGAACAATTTATTGGACTCTTTATATAAATTGCCAAAACTTTTTATTTTAAAAAAAGATAAAATAAAATAATACTATTTTTTCGAAATAGGCCAAGAACAAGGAACACAGTGATATTTACGTGATTATCACAGCACATGATTAAGTGTTCAGCCTAGGTTAGGGTTAGTGTTAGGGTTAGATGATAGGATAGTTTAGGCTAATTTTTTAGTGCTAGTAAATAAATGACGTCATTGCATTATTTCGCATGATCACTGAGTTCCGTGTATATATGCCGTAGAAATTAGTGTAGCATAATTTTTACCTGAATTTGACATGCGGCAATGCCTAAATCTAAATTCATGCCGCAACTTATAATCAATGCCTAAAGTTATAATTAATGTCATAAATGTTGATATAGTACCGAAAGTAATAAAGTATAATTGATATATCATCGATTAATGTAGTGATTTTAAGTGATGTAAAAAAACAAAAAAAAGTATATTTTGTTTAAATTTCGATTTTATAAATTATTATTAATTTAGATTATGACATGTTTTGGATTTCGGCATTTGTTTCGGATTGCGGCATAAATTATGGCTTGCGGCTTTATTTTCCCGAAAAATCGGTGCCTAAATACTTTCGGCGCAGCCGAAACTAATTTCTACGGCATGTATAGCCGTGTTCTTGAAGTGTCCCTCCGTCTACAACAGGGGAGACCGTCCTAAATTAGGAAATTTGTTACACGATTCATTGAAATCTTCTTATATAGTTTACAATAGTCTTCATGCAAGGTTATCGAGTGGCTCATTTAATTTGTATCGCACTTTAATAATATCAGGTGAATCTACTTGAATCCAACAGCTTTATATTACGATTTCCCTTACTAAGTAAATACTATATAAATCGGTATATAAAAGCCGTTGGATTCACCTGATATTATTAAAGTACGATACGAAAGCCCTAAAGTTCACTAAATTTTTTGTTATTACTAAGGAAAATGCATAGTATTATGAATCCAGAGCGTATCATCTCATTGCACAAACGCGTGAATGTGCATATTTTTGCTACACTAAAATTACAAATTTGATGAATTTTCAATATTATGTTTTTGATGCAATAGCTTAAATGACAATAAAAGGTGAATCAAAAATGTAGCTATTGACGCATCAAAAAACGTAACTTTGTATCACCATGCGTAATCCTTAAAAGTCCTCCGCTACGCTCCGGACATAAACTGTATAAAAGATTTTCAATGAATTGTGTAACTCCGATTATTCCTGATTTGGGACGGTCTCCATTTACAATAACGATAACGATAATGAATTTACTCCACGTTTTAGAATGTTTTGTAGTACTACTTTTTTATTGCCATATATAGTAGGTTTCTATATACAATAAACATCAGGAAATGTGTAAACTTATTATTATTGAACAATAACGAATGTTTTGGGTTCAGCCCACGTGGATATACGTATATCCAGTGTTGGCATTGGACATATGTCCACCCATTTTTAATGCCATTGGACTGGACATGGATATTGGATATATACTTGG